AGCTGTAGCTGTAGCTGTAGCTGTAGCTGTAGCTGTAGCTGTGTGTGAGAGAAGTCCACCTTTGAACTATGGCCTGAGGAGAAAAGTGCTGAAGTTTGGTACCTGCTACAAGGAGTAAACAGCATTATTGTGGCAGCCACATATGAAGGGGCAGGATGTGCGTTCAGAGGTAGGCACTGTGAAGCGTAGGGACTTGTTCCTCATTTACCTAGAGATAAGTTTACAAATCCTAGCTGGTGCTGCAGTGCTTCACTGTAGCTTTTTAAAAACAGTATGCACTGGATTGCCAGATATTAACTCATTTGTGTGACTTCAGAGCTGTGCTGTCATATCTTTTATAGATGTGTTTTAAAATTACTTGAGGAATCTTACATTTTCATGGATAAACCTAACCTTTTCCAAGTTTCACCTCTTTCCCAGCTCACTGTAGGCAAAAGATAGTTGAGCTGCTTTTGATTCATGTGACTTTTACTTTCCTTCAGGTTTTTTTTTTTAGGAATTAACTTTAATACTTCCAGTATTAAAAGAAGATATCCCAAAGGCCATTTAATTAATCAAGTTTTATATCACTATGATGAGGCCTGTTATCATTGAGCTTTAGCAGTTGTGGGTTCATCTTCTGTGTTATAAAAAAAGAAACCTGAGCAATAAGGAAAAGAGACGCGTGACCAGTCTGTTTCTAAGAAATTAGTTTCTTTAGTCTAAATTCCTGGACCTTCTGCAAAACAAAAATAAGCTGCCAGAGAAAGAATGAGTAGAAGAAGTTGGAAATGAATCCTCTTCTCTCAGCTGGATTAATAGTGCAGGACTTTGTAGCTAGTACCATAGTGTCAAATTTGTGTTGATCCTGTCTGGAGTGAACCTTCGCTCTGGGTATCTGCAGAGTCATTTGCCTGATGAACTTGTACCCTGGCACATGTCTCCCCGTTACCTGCCCGGGCACTACAACTGCATTAGTGAAAAATCAGCATCCTTCTGAAATACAGAGGATGAGGCCAGACCTTGTGAAGGCAGTAATCTGGATCTGGAAGGTTTTAAAAGCCCTGCTTGGTCAGGGATAGGTTAAGACACACATTGTCTTCTATCTGAGGTGTTTGCAGCTGTGTATTTACTGAGGGATCAGATGAAAAGGGAGGGGCGGGGGAAAGTGGCTGTATTAGTGTCTGCTGGTGCAGTGTTTGCTGTGACACAATTTTTTTACAAATACTTACACACATCACACCACACCCCCACACCCCCCCGCCCCATGTTTTTATTTTCGCCATGCCTGTTGAAGTGCAGCTAACAGTACGCCCTACCTTGCTGGGTTTAGTGCAGATAATTGCATCATGGGCTAAGAGGGAATGTGACGCTACATTTATCACATAAATCCCTGTGATGAATATATTGTAGAAATTACAGTAAGCAACATAAACCCCATTTTATCATTGTCCTGTATTTTACAAAATGCTTATATATAATTTATTTCAGATTTTATCTGGTCATATAGAAAAAAAATCACCAGTTTATGTTAAATCCAGTCTGATGTTGTTCACCCCAAAGCTTCTAGCAATCAATGTTTATTTTGGCTTAAGTTAAACCTGTCCCCAGTGACTTCAGGATAAACTGAAAAGTAAAGTCTTTGGGAGAGGATGACCACTCAGGATCTGTAACACATTTTAAGTGTACATTTTAT